ATCCTTTTATCTGGTGTTATCATCCCCATCGGTTTCTCGTTATTGCGCTTTCTTCCCTTCTCGAAACGATGGGCGAGTGCGCTCAACGGTCATTTTATATATCCTTCGCTTCTTCGACCTTGGCGTGGCTCACCTGTTGCTGCTGTTATTGGTGACCCGCCAACACGAGGCCAGGCACTTTTCATAGGGTACCTGATCCTTCTTAACATATTTCTATCCGCATTCAAATATGACACACATCCAGATGGATTCCACTACTGGTGGAACGATGGGCCAGATGAAATCATGGGCGATTTGGCGAATCGACTGGGAGTCCTATCATTCGCCAATTTCGCGCTCCTGGTCCTCTATTCGTCGCGAAATAACATACTTCTATGGTTGACCAACTGGCAGCATTCAACCTTTGTCCTCCTTCATCGGTGGGTAGCACGCATCGCCGTTCTCGAAGCTATCTTGCACTCCCTTATATTTCTCCGCGACTGGATCCAGGAAGATAGACTTGCGACTGATCAGGTTTTGCCATATTGGTGGTGGGGTTGCATCGCGACAATCGCGGCTTCACTCCTCCTACCCCTTTCCATTCCCCTATTGCGTCAGCGCAGCTATGAGCTGTTCCTTGGAATCCATATTGTGGCCTCAATCCTTATATTCCTAGGCTCGTGGTACCACATCATCTTCCGGTATCAACACCAGTGGGGTTACGAAACTTGGCTGTATGTCGTGTTTGCGGTTTGGGGGTTCGACAGGCTGATTCGCTTGCTGCGCACGCTTCGCAACGGAGTTCGTACTGCAAACATTACTGTTATTGACAATGATTATATGAAGATTGAAGTCAAGGGTGTTGTCGGGACAGGCTATGTTTATCTCTACTTTTTAAACTGGCGCTTCTGGGAGAACCACCCTTTTAGTATCGCAAGCTCGGTCATTCTTCAGAGTGATACGTACTCCAATGAAAAGAACATCTCACGGGATAGGGATGTGGAAATTGGTCCTAAAATATCAACGCAGATGGCAGTCCGGAGTTTTGATCACACCATCGAGACGGGTATGGTATTCTATCTCCGGATCCTAGATGGTGGGACTAAGGCTCTACGTTATAAAACCCAGCTTCCAGTTTTGATTGAGGGCACCTATGGCACTCAGGAGGATCTCTCGGATTATCCAACCCTAGTGTGCATCGCAGGTGGTGTTGGTGTCACGTCTGTTCTCCCTTACATGCGTGCCCACCTCGGCAACGTATATCTGTACTGGGGCTCCCGCACCCAAGCACTTGTTGACTCGATGAAGCCTTTAATATACAATTTTAATACAGAGGTTGCTGTGGGTCGGCGTTTAAATCTTCGGTCTATTCTAGAGAGCCAGCATGGCGACTTTGTAGTCGTGGTGTCTGGTCCTCCAAGCATGATGGACGAAACTCGTGAAATTGTTAGCAAACTCGCTTTAGGAAGAACAGTTAAACTAGTTGCGGAGTCCTTTACTTACTAGTTAACAGTTATTATAAAAAGGAGATTTTTAGAAAATTAGAAAACTTCAAGACACACAGCTTCATTCTGCTATAGTTACCTCCTTCAAAATAAGTAGGCTAACATGACTTACTACGGCTATTGTCAACTACAGCACCAACGTTTCACAACTGCAGTAGCTTCAGGTATCATTTCATAACTCAAAGTTGTGGTCTGATTTAAGAGTCATTTATTACCTAACTACCTAGGTATCTGACCTGCCATGTTGAGCAAGTTTTAATAACACAACGCAATGGACTGAATGTGTGACTCTGACGTTAGGGCAAACTTTCCGCAAGAAAGGTTAGTTAACGTCAATATGGCACCAGAAATCAGGTGAATTGGCTTTCAAAGTTTGAAGCCCTTGTCCCTGCGACAGAATGGTGCGGTAAAAAAAAACAGCTCATTGTAAAACCAAATGAGGAACGGATATTCCTTGGTGAACCTTGCTAGTACAAAGAAGGGAATGCTGTAAGAAAATCAGTAGTGTGTAAGTCCTCACTTGGGCTTGACAGCCTACTGCGAATCGAGTGATATTCTCAGCAGTGCAAGAATGGCTCTGATATGACCAACGAGATCACAACGCAACGCAACGCAATGCAACGCAAATATAATGGTGGCTTGGCTAGGGCGAAGAAATAGCTCCGGAGCTTCTTCAGATCTTAACACTTAGATGCGAGCTGCGGGGGTAAGAATATGGCAGCAAGTTGGCGTTCGTGTATCGATCGGCTTCATGCAAATAGGGGTCACTCTACAGCCCCGGGTTTTGGAGTCACTTCGCCTTTCGGCCTACTCCAAGTTGAGCGGAGCGACAAGGTCCAATTTATGAGGGTTACCCATATCAGACGAAACCCTAAGTTTGCTATCCACCCAAAGAGCCGCCCAAAAGGGACCTAGGATAATGAACGTGTTGAGTACAGCTCTGCGGAAAGTGCCTCTACTGAAAGGGGTTACCATCTCGACCATCCAGAACGTACTCAACACTATCACTGCTCCCAATAATTCCTGTGTCACTATTGAAATCAGATACCTTGTCCTTCTTGACGAGCCATTTACCCCCTAGAAACTTACGAATGCATGGGTCCGAAGGCTTTCGCTGCTTTGACTCATAAGGCACGAGTTTTGCATTGTTGCTGTCGATAGCATTCACGGTGCAGCCACACGCGAGGCTAGGTATTCCCTTTTGACGTTCGACATCTCGTGCCATTGTAGTCCATCGCTGATGCTTACTGCCGAAGCTTTCGAATGGACCCTCCATCATTGTTTGTGTATCATATTTGGTTGGTTCGGGTACTTCTTGTTCTACCTCTCGTGGTAGCAGTGCCTTTCGTTGCAATCCAGGCGCTAACTGGCGTTCATGGGGAGGGCATTGCTCACAGAGACCATGCGCATAACCGATATCACGAAAGTACCAGATTCGACTCTTGGGCAAGAACATGCTAACACTGAGTGTATGAACAGGAGCATCCCCAAATCGTTCATAATAAAACCCGCCAGCTTTGTCCAAATGGTCGAAGTACGCCTTATGCTGTTTGCTGCGGAAGAATTTCAGAGAACCAATTTCAAAATTGGAGTAAAACTGGCAATTATTGTACTCCCCATCACCCAGGCCCTCCTTGACGCCTGTGTGTGGACGAATCACATCATCATGATCTTCAGCTGTGTGCAGTAACCAGTCGAAATCTGCATCTTCATCTACCAACTCCTCGTTATGATCGATGAATTCTTTGGTGCGCTCCCATAGAGAAGGGAAAGATCGGGCATCGTCGAGAATGGCCATGTTAAATCCATACGCCATGTTGTTGTCTTGCATAAATCGGAACACGTCGTAATTGATATCACAGGAGAACTGTACCTGCAGTACCTTCGTTAGCTGTAGGTATCGAAAGGGGCATCGCCGACAGGGGCAAATGGCTGTGACTTTCTTAAACAAATTGGAAAGGAGGCTAACTTACAGCAGGCTCAACTCGCCAAAACCAGTCATAATTGGCAAGACGCTTCTCTGAGGCGAATATACCAGCGTTCCAACGACACATATGATGGTAGCTTTGCAACCAGGCCTTGCCGACACCGATACCACCCATGAATTGACGACCAATATCAAACCGGTTAATATCGATCCAAGACGGAATTCTCCAGTGCTCTTGAGGGATGCGTTCGAAGTAGCATTGGGAATTGGTAGCCTTAGACACGGCTGCCTTAAACTCTTCAGTGAACTCCTCATTATTGAAGAAGACCCAATCGTATCCGTGGGTTTCCCGGCTGTTGAATCGAGCTTCCACCTGGAGGATGCTAGCGACCATCTCTTCGACCTCCTCGTTTCTCACAAGAGAGATAAACGCAGCTTTTGGGCGTGTCTCGATTAATGCCTGTACCTGCTGGGTCGGTAGATCTTGCAAATCTAGGATGGTATTCTTACGGAGCCACTGGATTGGATGGCTGGTATCTGCTTGCATAGTATATCCAGCAGGTGGGTGCGGCATAGGGGGTACGTAAGCGTCAATGACTGGAGTTTCTAGATGGATTGACTTCTCCGGCTCCCAGGTAGACAACCAAGCACTGCCTACGAGAGCGGACGCTAGGCAGAAGAGGACAACCTTGCGAAAGGAGAAAGGCCTTTAGAAATACAGTAGTATTAATCGATTGGTCACATTGGTTGGTATAACTGGGAACGTACCTGACCCGGCGAGGAAGAAAGTTCCAACTAGAGAACCCTTGGATCTTGCTATGGGTTGGTTCAACTGCATTCTCAGGAGCGATAGCCAGAGTATCATCACCTGTTTCATTTTGCTGAGGAGTGAGACTTAGAGGTAGAGGAGTAACATCGTCAATCGAAGAACACGACAAGGACGCTACATGGCCTCTGCTCCTAGATGATCGGGACATATGAGCATCTCCCCCGCCCGCATGTCGAGAGTATGCTTTGGGAGTATGGAACTCCATCTGTCTTTGACGAGTCCGTAATAGTTAATATAAGTACCAACACAAGTACCGGGTATTAAATAATCGTCAGGGTGTACTTCACAGAAAAGGACTAGACTAACCTCGACGCGACACAGGTTAATCGGCAGTGCTAATAAGGGGGATGCAAAACGAAGGCGCGATTGAAATCAAGGCAAAGATGCTTTGGTAGGTAGTAGTCAATTGTCCTAGAAGACAGTTGTTTAAGGAGAGTTACCTAGTAGGACGAAGTGCAAAATAGTGAAAAGTGAACGAAAAGTGAACGAAGATAACGGCGAATGTTTGTACTTGACAAAAGGCTTTTGACGACGTTATGGCGGTTAGTGTAGTTTCAAGAAAATGTAGCGCCTCTGCTTCATTTTAAGATTGGATATGGTTGATTGCTGGTTGGCCGGGAACAAACAACCTTAGAACCAGTTGTACCTGTCATAGGATGTCAGGGAAACACCGCTATTCCATATGGGACGTAACTTCCTCAGTGCAGTTTACAGGAACCACAGGAACCACGGGAACCACGGGGACGAATCTAGTCTACCATGTCAGATGCCGGTCAGAGGTCGATTCACTAAGCTGGTCACCTGTCCGTTATCCGATTCTAGGTCACGCATACCGCCCAAGTAGACGCTATCAAAGTAGACACTGCAGAAGGTGAATAATCATCTAGACTGTACTCTGTAGTCTTATTCAGTCATAGATTGAAGTTATAATACAAATCGATATCGGATTAGTTAAGGACAACAAGGGTTGGTACCTAGGCCTTAGAAGCCAATAATGAACACCCCTTATTTTCCACCTAACTCCCCCTTTACTAGAAACGCTGCATCACGTTTCAACCATCATAGCGTCGCCAGTTATGTCATCCTCATGCGTGAGCTCGAGGATTCGTGCATATTGTACAGTAATGCGTTGGAGTTCCCTGAATTTTCCTGGGTGACAGTTAGTATTGAACCAAAAGAAAGAGTTCGACCACGACACAACTTACCTAGAATCATCACAACGCCTTTCAATAGGTCCTTACGATCCCACCCGCAAATATCATCATCTTGACTATACCATCCCTTGCCTCCTGTATTATCCCCCTTTTTATCTTGCAGCACACCTCCTACTAAGCTGTTGAGAAGCTCTTCTACTTTCCCTCGGTGCCCTTCTGCTCCGATCCGTTTCGCATACATGAACAGATATAGTCGGAACTCGTCCTTCGAACCCAACTGTAAGGCACCAGCAATTCGGTTCTCTAAATGAGCAATACTAACACTAGACTCGAAGGTCTCGAAACCATCCCTCGATAGTAAAGTCTTGATTAAGCGTTGTAAGGTGTATGCTCTCCCCTTCAGCAGGAACTCGTTTGTTGTGTGTCGTTCCAAGTAGGGAATAATGCCAGCTGAAACAGTCGCTCCATCACTCTGTCCGTCTTTGGAAGATGTAGAGCCAACTGCAGTAGACTGCAAAGCCCCAACTGAAGAGTCGTTGCTGTTCCAGTACTGGCTACCCACAGCCCACCATGATTCCGAAAGTCGTTGCCAGGAGTACATTGTTGGGGAATAAAAGTATCCATCACCATTCGTAAGGGTAACAACAATATGACCGCTGGAGTTTAAATGTGCAGATGTAACACCAGGGCCCGGCATGGCACCATGTGTCTGGAGCGAGCTGATGGCAATCTCCAATACAGGTGCGAGAGATACCGGCGGATGGGGTGAGGATAGTGTGTTAATATTCCAAACATGACATATGCCAACCGCTGTAATACAAAGCAACCACCAATCGCGACACTCCAGAATCACCGGCTGGGATTCCAACACCATCGCATTTATCAATCGACGGCCTGCGGGAGTCCAAGTATATAAGCTGCCATCTTCACATGCCGCGGCCCAGAATCTCTTGCTACCAGTTACAAGGATAATGGCCCGTGGAAGGTAGTCTTGCCACAGTAGACTACCACGCTTCGTGGCCGTGATGTGCGAGGGATCTCGAATCGATACCGGATTCTTTGCTTCTAAGATGACATTTTCGGGCACTTTCGATGCCTCCTCTACGCTACTTTCATCCTGCAAGACACCCCGTTCTAATGGACGGATAATATGTGACCTAACTTTAGGTACTGCTAGACGGACTTGAGAAACTGCGATAGAGGGATTGAGGATGGCTGGTCGGAGATATTCAGGGGTTGGTATAAGACCATGTTTGGGCGGTTCGAGAGTCGCGGGTTCAAGACCTTCTACTCCATTTCTCACTATACTTCTTGGTCCAGAAGCCGATCGCTTGTTTGGAGGTTCATCATCATCTTCGCCCTCCGACGCAATCGCTTTCCTTTTATTTCCAAGAAGCATAGCCGCTAGACCGCCCTCTGGCAGTCCATCGTATGGCTTCGAAAGATCTAGTATCGTTTGTGGCGCATCGTTTTGCGCAGCTTTGGAGGAGCTAGATCCCACCAGCTGGCTCTGGGGAAGTGATGACTGACCGGTCCCAGATGACGAGATGAGCATTGGTGCAACTCTTTTCTTCCCGTCCTTGGTAATAGTTACACGGGATTTCAGTTCATTCACCCGCTCAGCAGTTTTATCGGCCGACTCTTCTACGACGGGAGCCTTTTCTTTCTCTGGCTGGACATCTGTCTGTCCATTTGTCGGTGGCAAATTCGGTGTTGCAGCGCTACTCTTAACTCCATTCGTTGTAGGCGGAGCGTCTTTAGGAAGCGGATGAAAGTCGCCCATTAGCGCTCCCATTCGCGATTCGGCACCTTTTCTCTCCCCTTCCTTACTATGATTTTCAAGTTGAAGCCCGTCGACATCTTCCGCTATTCCCATAGCTTTTCGGGAGGCACCATATTTAGATAGGGCCTTGTCCGTCTCTTCCAGGTTGGCCACCCAGCCCAATTCTCCGGTGTCAAACTTGACTGCAACAATGCCGCCGTCGAGACTCGACGCAAACAGAATTTGACCATCAGGGGTCCAGGCAAGGTCTGATATTGATTTTGATGCCATGTCCTGCAAAATCACCACAGGTCTTGACGTGTTCGTGTTCCAGACGCTCAGTGTCTTATCTTGGCCGGCCGATGCTATCACCGTCACCAAAGTTCCCCCAGAATGGCCATTAGTCGCTCCATTCTCCACAGGCTTTTTCGTATGAAATAACCTAGGAGAGAACATACACACTTCCGTAGGACCTTCGTGACCGATCAGGTTGATTTCACTGTCCCATCTAGTTCGCTCAATTATAGCGACCGAACTTACGGGACCGTTGACTGCATTAGCTGCAGCAATATGGTTACCGTCAGGTGACCATGAGCACCTTCTGAAATATGTAGTGAGTGGGGATGATTTGAAGGGGGCGCTAATAGTGGTCTCGAGTTGAAAGTTGTTAACCATATCATGTTGGGTCGCATTAGGGGCGGGAGGAGTAAAGCGAAAAATCTTGATAGATCGATCATCGCTAGCAGTAGCAAAAAACTTATTGGCCGGGTCGAAAGTAATACCCTTCACATGGCTTTGATGATTTCCAAGCACCTTGAGCTTCTCGAAAGTGTGTCCCGACCAAATGACGACCTTGGAATCAAGACCCACAGAGACAAGAATCGAGCCATCGTAAGACCATGCAAGATCTTGGACATCATTGTCATGCCCTATCAGTCGCCTTGAAGTCTTCCAATTCTCGACAGGTGGTGGCTCGTTCGTTCCGAAAGGCGCGATAGTAGGTGGACCACTCTCAAGCTGGTATATACATATGATCTTGTCATCCGCCCCTGATGCGAGGTAGCGGCCATTGGGTGAGAATCGCACGGAATGAATAGTGCCGAGATGGTGGCTCATATGGCAGAGCTGCCTCGGCTTCGTGTAGGAAGGATCGTCGGCATTGTAGATAGATTCGGTCGACCAAACTCGAACATGACCATCTAAAGCAGGTAAGATATCGGCGCAAATAACTTATAGTGATCAAGCATTGCTAAAAACGCACCTCCACCAGCTGTTGCAAGTCGCTTTCCATCAGGCGATATGTGGCAGCTGTAGACCTCGAAGTCTTTCTGTTCGCCTTCAGAAATAATCAGCCTTGTTTTCTCTATCTCCAGAAAGCTCATCAACAAATACAGGTCCCATACATACCTCTATGGCTCAGCCATGATGGCTTAATGATGCGCATGGTGACTCGATAATTGGGATTGTAATTCGCATGTCTGCATAAAGTTTACGTCAAATAAACTAAGATGGGAACAATCAGAAATAAATGCGCGTGCCTCAGAAGTTTCAGTAAAAGGTTGGTTGTCGAAGAATCCGTGGCGCGCGACGCGGCCCGAGTTTCGATCAATTTAAAAGTTTACGTAATCTCTCTTTTCAGCTAAGGGATACATCTTTGAGTGCCTACCTACATGTACCTAACCTTAGCTTCACGTCACCTCACAGTGTGCCCTGGCCAGGACCCAGGTATCCGGCAGTCGGTAACTACCTAGGTACCTAAGGTCTCGAACCCCACATATGTGCGCCTAAGCTAATTTTGATGCATGTATAAAGAATATGTGCCTACAGGACATTTCTACACATTGCGGGTAAGCCCTTATAGGGTATGCATGAGAACGGAATCGTCAAGCCCATCAAGCGGAGAATGTAACAAATCTTAATTGCTTCATCCTACCTAGGTATGCGACGGCAAATACACCATCTCTGAAGCCGAGCAACTAATTCAGAGTTCAGACAAAAGAAAATGAAAAAAGGGGCATCTCCGGTCCGGCGAGAAGATCCGAGGACCTATGATCATCATGCCGCCGTATCCATAACCCCCTAGGGGAAAAAGAAGCCATTCTTATGCATAGTTCCCTTTCCTTCCTGACTCCTCTCAAATGCCGAGTCCCTCCTCCCAACGCCCTGTAAAGTCATCGTCCATGGACTGCATAGGTTGCGAAAACATGGGAAATCCGAGGAAGAGGATACTTCCTCCACAGATCCGCTCAAGGCATAGGAGACACGGAGTATTCCTGATAAAGAACATATCTGATGATAGTGTTACATAGTATTGTTGTCGTTGATTAATGCCCGAGTCGCCGTATCCTGAAAGGCAATACTGATGCTCCGTATAAGTAAGCATATTCTGCTTTAGACGAGTCGTAAGGTGCCTAGTTCATTCGACAAGACGAAATATAACTTAAGCGTGTCCATTACTTCCATATCGGGTCGGCTGGCGAGGTAGATCATTGAAGTAAGGGTGGTGGCAGGCTTGCTTAGCAGAAATTCGGCCGGCGGGATCGTATACGAGCAGAGCTTCTAGAAGATCGAGGCCGTTGTCATCGAGGTTCGAGCACAGGACCGTCGAATGGTCACGTATCCATTTAGGGAACGAAGCTTTGAAGTCAGGGTAAGAAGTAACTCCGGGCCATACCTCCTCAGTAGGAGTGCCCAACAAGCTAAAAATGTAATTAGCAATTAGCAATCATAGACAGCATCGAAAAGGTATGCTTACCGGAAGGTCTTGAAAATCTGGTCGATCTCCGAGTCTCCGGGGAATAACGGTTTCCTAGTGCACATCTCTGCAAAGATACAGCCTACGGACCACATGTCCACACCCGTGGAGTACTGTCGACCACCAAGCAGAATCTCCGGAGCTCGGTACCAGAGCGTAACGACCTCGTGGGTGTATGTTCTAAGGGGCACTCCAAAAGCGCGGGCCAGACCAAAATCGGCAAGCTTCAAGTTCCCGTCACGGTTAATCAGCAAGTTCTGCGGCTTGAGATCTCGGTGCAGAATTCGGTGGCTATGGCAGTATCGTATTCCTTCGCAAAGCTGGGTCATAAATCGGCGAACCATGCTACTACCCAGTCCAAGACGTCCCAGTTCGGGCCCCGAACCTTCAGGTAGAGCTTTACCGCGACCACCATCGCTGACGGGAAGCGCCTCCATGTACTTCTTCAGGTCGAGGTCGAGAAACTCGAAGACTAAGTAGAGCTTGTGGCCCTCGGCATGGACGATGTTAAACAGTCTGACGATGTTGGGGTCACGCATCTCCTTGAGCAGAGAGATCTCTCGGATGGCGGTACTAGGAACACCCTCATCCTCAGATTCGAGACGAATCTTCTTCAATGCGACGATACGGCCACCATGGGCCAAGTCTCGGGCTTTATAGACGACACCATAAGTGCCTAGAAGCAGGTGTGATTTAGCAAATAGCGAGTTTGAAAATTGAGATGTTAAAAGTTCGGCTTACCTTCGCCAATCTTCTCAAGTTTCTGGTAGTTATCCATTTTCAAGGATGGCTACTACTGCACTGGAATTGAATTGGATCGAAGGAATGTAAGAAACAACTTTTGGATTGGAGGAGAGGCGTTGAATGATTATGGGAATCTCGAATTCCGGGGGGGTAACCTGCACCAAAGAAGTTGAACTCGGTTGCTATTTACTCGAGCTTTTGGATAGTGGTGTGGGTTGGGGGGTAACAACAGAAAACGAGGGGCAATAGTGGGAGAGAATCTCGACGAGGATAACCAGAACAAACGTTGCCTGCGGGAGTGTATCAAAAGGAGCGGACAGAGTTGATCCTGTACGATCTCGCAGTCTGTTAAAACTCCATTGGTACCAGGGATGTGTTAAGTACTGTACGAAGTTCAGTTTGCTGCAAGGATCCGTGGGAGGGTTGTTGGCGGTATGTGGGTTGAAATTGGGATTTTACAGCTCATGAGTGTGGATGTTTTCCAATAATACAAGTAAACAGTGGATTCATAACTTTTGACACGCGCCGACTTTGTGGCTAACAAAGCCAAATCGCGTTTGTGGCTCCGGAGTCAGGCCGCTAATGCACGTTTATATAAGCAGCTATGATACATGTACACGTCTGGCATGCGGGTGTGTGCTTTATGTACATGTATCTTTTCGGCTTTAAACCTGCATGCAGGTACATGATGCTCTTCCATATCTTATCGCTACATATGTACGAAATATGTACAATGCAATTTCTACATGTACGCATACATTTTCACATGCATACAAAGTGACAGGGGCATTCGAGCATGAAAAATGTCATGATCAAACTCCCTAACTCTAAAACAAGGAAAACGGTGCTTCTATTATCTTATCTAATCTATCAACACGAATATTCCTACGTCTTCACCCACTATGACCCTTGACCTGACTACCCTGGACGCCCATGAGCAACCAGATGAAGAGCTCAAGGCTACGTGGAAAAAATATTCGAGGACTGACCATGAGGAATTCACGAGTCATCCGGACATAGATGAGCTAGACCCCCCGAACACTGTGGGCGCATTCAAACTAGCAGGGCATATCCCAAGTGAAATTCTCACGGCCTCTTTTAAGCAACTCGAAGGTAGTAACTGGGATGGAAGCCAAACGATTGAAGATGCTCCTTTCTACTTCCATCCTCTACTCCCAGGTAAGCCCACTCCTCACTATCCCGACGATTATTCTCATACTAGATTACAGGCTTGCTTATATTTCCCTCCCTAATACCCCCAAGAACGCAGAAAGCATTAGTATACCGCATGGTTCATAGGGATCTAAGCAATCCTACCCACCAGACTAACTTACACTTACACTATGATCTTCCCTATTTAGAAGGACAAGATAAGACGGATGTTGATTCCCGGTCTTTCTTCTCTTACTCTCCAGAATCATCCACGAAGTTTCTACCAAAAGACCCGACCGTTCACAAGTCCCTGTCTATCAAGCAAGTCCTTGAACGGCGGTTATCTTGGGTTACGCTCGGGGGGCAATACGATTGGACCAATCGAGAATATCCTGACCAAGCTCCTCCTGATTTTCCTCATGATATTGCCAATTTCCTTCAGACTCTCTTCCCGGATACTGCTGCTCAGGCTGCTATTGTCAACTTTTATAGCCCGGGGGACACGATGATGATGCATCGAGATGTTAGTGAGGAATCAGACAAGGGTCTTGTAAGTCTCAGCATAGGCTGTGATGCATTATTCATGATCGCGCCAAATGGCTATAAACACATGTCGACAGACAGAGAAGCTTCCGAGAAGCCATACCTTCTTCTGCGACTACGATCCGGAGATGCCATTTACATGACCCAAGAATCCCGATATGCTTGGCATGGTGTACCAAAGGTTCTTAAAGGCACCTGTCCAGATTTCCTAGCCGATTGGCCGGCAGAAGGCGACAAGTTTCAAGAATGGAAAGGGTGGATGCGGAATAAGCGCATTAACTTGAACGTCAGACAGATGAAAGACTGAATTTCATATCCGTTTTAATGTTTAAACAAACTACAATATCCCTGCCACGGTATATAAAGTTTTGCTCAGTTCGCCCCCTTCAAGCTAAAGCTTAAACACGTCCTTGCAGTCATAATCAAGAATCTGCAACCATGTCGTAGACAATGTCTTCGGATTGTCCAGACCTAGCATACAAGACATGATCTCATGACAACATCATCGGAATTATAATATGCCAAGGGCATCCCCCTCAATTAAGTCGGTGTAGCCCATATTATAAATATTTCAAACATCAAGTCCTCCAAGAGCAGAAACAGCCCAAAATAACACTTAGGAAATATAGTCGTCAGGTCATGAAGTCAATTATTACCGATTGTTAGGTATATACTGGATTAATAGTGGTTGCGGTGACTTCCACACCAATACATGGAGACGTTCGTCGTGTCAGCTTTGATATTCACTTTCTCCCATGGAGAGACCTAGACAACTTGTGCCTTACCGTCGGCCCTCATACGGTCATATCTCAGTACACTCTGCAAAAGAACATCCGCACCTATCCTGCAGTCTTCGGGGCTAGTGTACTCCTCGGGATTGTGACTAACGCCGTTCTTCGATGGAACGAAGATCATGCTCGTCGGACATCGTCGATTGGCGTATACGCTGTCATGTCCAGCTCCGCTAGTCATATCCCGCACCAAACTACTGCTGCCGGTGACCGCCTCGGCGGAGGCTCTTACAACGGCAATACAGTCTGGGTGAAATATCGTGGCGGGAGAGACAAAGTCCGTTCGCCATTCGACACTTAGCGGCTTCCCTGGCGTCGAGTTGGCGAGAAGTCCACCAATATCATTGCCCGCAGCCAGCGCTGCGGAGTCCCGCTTTAGATCAGCCTCCATGGCATCGATGGTAGCATCAGCAGGCGCACGGATATCAAGCGTGAAGCTCACGTGTCCAGGAATCGTGTTTGTGCTGCCGGGGCTTAATGTTAGGATACCTGTCGAAGCAACTGCGGAATGCGCAGTTGCTAGGCGATGCGAGTGGGTGATCAAGCGTGCCGCAAGCAGCATCGCATCAGCACGGCTTTTTAGAGGCGTAGTACCTGTGTGCGCATCTAGTAGTCCCATACAGTCAGTTCAGAATCACACGATTTTTTCGTTTCCTGGAAATGGGCACGGATTAAGTACCTCGTCCGTGAATGTCGACGGTGAACCACTTATAAGCTTGAACCCCTTTTACGACTCCGACCTTCTGGTTTTCCGTTTCTAAAATCGGACCTTGCTCGATATGAAGTTCGAAATGAGCGGCCATGGGGATACTCCGGTGGCTCGTTGGCGTGGAACCGAGATATCCAATTCGTTCCAATTCGGACTTTACCGTCGCAGTACCCCCGCCTACCTCCTGAGTATTATGAGCGCGGTCGAGGGCGATCTCTTCAGCCCATACCCCTGAAGACATCATGCTGATCGGAAATCGAGCGCCTTCTTCGCTATCGTAGCCTATTAGTTCGATTTCTCTTCAAGATATAGCCCAATTTGAGGTAACAGAACCTCCGAGATAGGGCCAGACATACTTGGTCCAGTTTACAACACCAACTGGGAACTCGGTCTCCACCTTGTGTTCGCGTAGTACATTGAGCATCTCGATACCAGCTAAAATCCCGAGGATCCCATCATAACGACCACCGCTCGGCTGTGTATCGAGATGAGATCCAACAAACGTCGCCGGTCCTTCACGACGACCAGGACGGATAGCGAATATGTTACCCATAGTATCAACAGTGACGTTGCATCCCAAAGCCTTAGTCGTCTTGACGAACCAATCCCGAGCCTGCTTATCTGAGTCGCTCAATGCAAGCCGTGACATACCTGTCTCGGTTGGCGCGCTATGATTGGTGGGATATAAGTATGTTACTCTGCAGGAATATCGAGTTTAGAATTAGACTTGCCTTCCCCATCGCTTACCCGTCCCGAAAGAGCACGTATGATGCAATGCATCCATCAGTCTGCTCTTCTGCACTTTTAGGGTAGTAAGGTGGTGATCCTGTTGGTCGGTAGCTTGAGTGCTAAAATATTGCGGCGTTCTAGACGATAAGAAGGCTTGCAGAACCCTTGACGACGATGCAGATAATCGTCCACTCATATGAAACTGGACTTGGTTAGTAGGTGTAAGACGGCTTAAGCGGCAACGCATAGCCAATGGATTGCGTATTACACAAGCCATGACGGAAACATGAATCATCTATGTAGATGAAATCTAGTTTGAAATAATGAGATACGCGATGTAGTTGATAGAATTTATCATGGTAATAAGATAACTAATACCTCTTGAGACTTGGAGCGAAGTCGGCAATACCTATTTAGTCACGTGCCAATGGATACAACCTATAGGATTGGCATGGGATTTCTTAGTTCCCTCTAATTATTGGTCTTAATTACATGTCTCTTCATACTTTAGGTTGAATATAATATATAATAATAATAATACGGAAATGAGGCACTCTGATTTCGTGCCCGTTTCTAGTGTACTTGAATAGGATTTTAAGGAATTATACATGTGAGAATGTGAAGAAAATAGGGGGCCAGTCAATACAACCCAAGTCAACAGGTAGGCACAATGATGCCTTTCTGTGTGTAACAATGAGGTCTTAGTCGCACGAAATAGCCTATTGCTTTGTATTGGCCACCGTCTTCAATAAGGAGACTAATATTGAACTTCCCTCTCATAAACATGCCTCGGATTTTAAATATGTTCAACTTAGGTACCCATGGTCCATGGATATCCTATGGGTACCTACCCCAACAGGCATTGATAGGGTGTTACAGAATATCAATTTCATCTTAAAATCTGCAAGGTTAAAAACGATTACTACTCTTAACGTTAGAGTCCCCTTTATCCCACCCCCTTATTCACTGCCTATGACATGGGTGCTTTATGATAGGTCATCTAGTTAATATACCTAGAAATGGGTATTATGATACTCGACTAAAATAATTTAGACGTTGTACTACATACACACTGTTCATTTATAAGGTATGCGGCTTCCGATCTTGTGTGCAGGCGGGGGTTTATTTAATCCAAGTACGCTTATGTCCATGCTACCGTATGCGTCGCTCTTTGTTTCCTCACCTATATCTCTATCCCCACTCGCTATTATAGTTCACTCACCTAGTTGTTCTTACTATAAGACAGCGTCTAACACCTATTCTGTACCTTCCAAATACTAAAGCACTTAACAACACAGGAAGCTCATGAATGTCTCCATATAATGGGGTTGTTGAAGCCTGCAGTTATCGTTGTCACCGGAGCGTTCCATAAGCCTGATCATTATCACTCACTGAAGGTAAAACTCGAAGCTCGGGGATACGAGGTTTTCATTCCACTTCTAGCAAGCTGCAGTTCCCAGGTCGGGATAACGTGGAAGGATGATGTCGCGTTGATACACAAGACGGTAGAACCGCACATGGACGATGGTAAGGAATTCATTGTAATATGTCACTCCTACGGAGGTCTCCCTGGTTGTGCTGCTACAAGCGGATTCACCGCTGAGGAACGGAAAAATAGTGATAAGAAAGGAGGGTTTCGGGCAATTCTTTTCATGGCCGCTTTTGCCGTACCACAAGCTGGCATGGATATCCTACAATGCTTAGGGGGGAAATATCCATCCTGGATGACACATCAACCTTTATATCAGAGGGTAAGCACTGTCTTCCTCGAAGCTTAATGCATAAAGTACTCAGGAAACTGATCAAAGGAGAATATGTAGAATAAAACATGTTTCGTCAATGATAAGGCGAAGCAAGACCTTTACAACGATCTCCCGGATGATATAGCCGGAAAATGCTTCGATACCTTACTACCATTTTCGCAAGACGCCCTCGAAACACCAGCCGAGTTCGTTGCATCAGACCTTACGATCCCAAGAACGTTCCTAATATGCGAGAATGATATGGCAATGCTCCTGCACATACAAGAGACCCTAGTGGCCGGAACATCAGGCATGAAAGTTGAGAGATGCTCAGCTGGACATAGCCCATTTATTAGCCAACCAGATCGAGTCGTTGAGGTGATAGAGGGACTCATAGAATGAGTAAAAAGTTGTGTCGGGTTTTCGTAGCTTAGTTCTATCTCACATCGGTGTTCTTAGGACAAGATGTAAGTTGAATCGGCAGAATATTCACTTTCGTAAGCGGCTTTATTCATATTTTTGGTTTACACTTTCGCCCGTTGGCTGACGGGGTACTTGGACGCTCGTTACTCATAGAGATATAAATATTCGTTAAAGCTTAGCATCCAATTCAAGGTTTATTTTTTTACTTAACAAGTAGGAGGCATCTCATTCAGGAAAATAAATATTAAATTTCCTTGACCTCACTTTCATATAACAAGACCACCTAACGTCTTAACGGGTACTTATCCCCCTTTATTACGTATGATAGACTTATTTCACGCTATGCTAGCAGAGGTTCTGGGCCCCATGAACACTGTAAATATATACAACCAGAACTAGAGAAGCCCTTCGGCATCCAAATTATTTGATGTCAGCGTTATTTTACGCTGATGGAACTTTGCCAAACCGGTGTTGTGCCCAACTCAAACTTTTTTCAGGTAGAGTCCATAGCTGCTCGCCAACATCAGAACCTGCAGCACCTGCGACAATATGCATCGGAAGGATATGGTCCAAGGTCGGATGCGCTTTCCTGGCATCGTCGCGCTTCATCAGAGCGAGCATCTTCTCCCGACGCTCTTCTGGCTTCGCGGCAGCAGCCTCCTTGAGTGCCGAATCAAAGGTAAAGGCGTACCTAAACTACATTAGCAGAAGAACAATCGGCTTGGTATAGTTAACAGGGTTTTCTTACGGCATGGTTTGGTCGCTAGCCCTGTTGGCTCGGAAATCACGAAGATTGTGAACAGCCATCCCCGCACCAATGATTAAAATGCCTTCGTCCCGTAGACTTTCCAATATCTGTCCTACGCGGTAATGTTGATCCGTATCTTCGTTGTCGAATAGCGAAACTTGCACAATGGGTACATTTAATGGGTTCCGCTTCGGATCAAAAGCTGACATGGCATCGAATTAGCAACAAGATGTACCTAGGTGATGTATATATAGGAGACAAGTCATAACTTACCAGCCATAAAACCCACCCATACACCATGGTCAAGACCACGTTTAACTCTCTCGACTTCAATACCAGCGCCCGCCAACTTCTCAATAACCTTCTCGGCAATCTCGGGACTTCCCTTGTTCGGATAGTCATGTTCGTAGTAGTGTGACGGGAAACCGTAAAAGTCGTAAATTAGGTCTGTTTTCTTGGCTACATTGATTTGAATCTTGTTCGGGCCGGCTTGCCAATGGGCAGAGAAAACGACCACAGCCTTCGGTTTGACCTTTGTTGTAATCTCTTGCCCGACTTCTACCAGCTTCGCGTAGGCAGGATGGGCCGTGTTTTCTATGAAATTAGGACCACCAATACTGAGGAAGTATACGGGCAGCCGTGAAGGACTGTTTATATACGAGGAACCAGACATGTTATCCACAGCGTATGTAGCTAATTGTATATTGATGACTTGCCAAATACTACTCGTGTACGACAGGGCGGTATGATAGATGAGCGAGATGGACAAAGTTACAAGGAGAAAGGCAAAATATATGTACCTTGGTCGAATAACAAAATTATTGGATGGCAACTCCAAGGACATTGTCAGGATTCTAGATGAGACAACTAGAACAAAGGAACTGTTCAGTATGTACGGATATAGACGAAAGATCTTCATAGGTAGTTTAGAGTTCCTTGCGGAACAACGAAGTTGTTTCCATACTGTTTCGTTCCACCTCGTGACAGACATGACGGGCGATGTCTAGCCTAGCCTTTCCTTGACTTTCATAGGTATTATAAACGGAAGCAGCCGAATGTAGCATATCCGAATCGTTCGGACCGCGAGCTGACAAATACATTGTTCAAATACAGAGCATAGAAGTTTAGAAAACTGCTAAGATGGTATACGATGCGAAGGGCCGGTCATGCATGTTAGAAATTCAACATCCTGTAGCGTAGACACTCCCGCGCGCGACGAAGTTTAGTTTCCTAACCCTCTTTCTCAGCTCATGGATGTTAATTAATGAGCAAGGTCCATTGTATCCAATCACGGCTCTTTTGGATTACGAATGGGTTACATATCTGGGCAAGGAGGTTCAATGCTGGATTCACCCCGCGCGGTCTGAAGTAAGCTTGCAGGGTCCATCGCGCGCGGGTTGACTAGGATCTTTCTCAGTTTATTCGGTTTGGCGGATCCTCGCGCGGCTTGTGGGCCTCGATGAACTGCAGATGATGGTGTAGCAATACAACCCAGACGATTGGTTTCGTCTCATACTTACATGATGGGTTGATGGACTGGTATGATGACATTCGTCCTATTCGACCTTTGACCTCGCACTTCGGAATAGTAGGATTACAAATCCGTAATTTGTAAAAGATGGCGGAGTGTTCGGATATATCGTGATTGAACGTAGACTCTAGTAGATATAAATAGGGGGCATATCAACTTCGAGATAAGTCCATCTTTCATCCCAAATATTAGCTTCTCTGCAAATTAGAGCCTTAAGATTCATCTTTACCATCAACTATCAAAGCACAATGTCGGGAAACGTTGTACTTATTCTCGGAGCTGGGCCCAGAGTCGGCGCCTCTGTCGCTCAGAAATTCGCTAGCAACGGCTATAAAGTTGCTATTGCTTCCAGGAGCGGCACTGGCTCCAAAACTACCGAAGGGTTTCTCTCACTCAAAGCGGACTTCACCAAGCCTGACTCGGTCCCGGCGCTATTCGATGCAGTCAAGACCGAGTTTAAGACAGCTCCCAGTGTTGTTGTCTACAACGCAGCAGCACTTACGAACCCTCCCGACAAGGACTCCATTTTTTCGATCCCATCGGAAAGTGTCGTATCGGATCTCAATGTCAACACTGTTAGTCCCTACGTCGCAGCCCAGCAGGCTGTCATTGGGTGGGCAACGTTGCCCAAGGAGGCTAAGAAGACATTTATATACACCGGCAACATCCTGAACGTCTCTGTCGTTCCAGTGCCCCTTATGTTAGATCTAGGCATGGGCAAGTCGGCGTCGGCTTTTTGGGTCGGAGTTGCGGACACAGTATATTCCTCCCAGGGGTTCCGGTAAGTCCTCTAAGAAAAAGAAAAAGTTCTGTCCAGAGTATTTCTAACATTATTTGCCCGTTAGATTCTTCTATGCTGATGAGCGTCAAGGAGATGGTAAGAGTAAGGGGCTTGCGCTCGATGGTGCTGCGCATGGCGAATTCTTTGCACAGTTGGCGAGTCATGAGGGAAATGTGCCATGGCATGCCACGTTTGTGAAGGACAAGGGCTATGTCCAGTTTAAGTAACAAGATCGGACTGGAATGAGGGCTTAGGGAATCTTCATAGTTAGATGTTAAAGTCTATGTCCATGTAAATGACCAAATTTAGTATCCTAATGAGGGTTTGACACTTACATTTTCCTTGACTGTCTTCAAACAAGTAATACTAGTTCACCTTGACTTCTAAAGCACGTGGCAAGGTCGCGGCTTGCAGAATCACTTGCGTCTCTGTTGCGCCATACATTCTCCATAATCTCAAGCGCTTTGCGTACCGTGCCGAAGACACTTGGCGGTTGCAAGGCGACCACCATTTCGCGCAAATGAGCTTCTTGCGCTGGCTCTGCGAGACAGCCTGCTACGCAGAATGGCCATACCATCGTACGTAGCAACGCTTTTGGCGATGTTGCATGTGTTAAAATGTCGATGACTCGACCAACATGGTAACACACTTCGACGCTGGCAGGCTGCCATCCGGAAACAACAATGATGAGATAAATTAAGGCCGCATGAGCCCAGACCCGTGTAGTTAAACGGCTCTGGCAAACGGATGTCTTTGATTGCTGGTAATAATGCACGTTGAAGGCATCTAATAGGCTACTACCACTTTGTGCAACGGCCGACGACTCGGCTTCAAGCCGAATAAGATGGGTTTCTAGGAAGTCCTTTATAGCTGTAGCGCGACGGACCAGGTCTATGACATCGAGATTTCCTGCTCCCTTGCACTGCTTCTTCCATGCATCGAGCGCGGAAATTTCACTAATCTGTAATAATACCCAATTTTGACATCCTACAACTGTCTCAAGATTGATTAGGGGACGGGTGCCATTGGCATCACTCAGGAGGCAGCGTTGATACTCGTAAAGCCTAGGTTTCTCCTGAAGGACCGTGCTAGCAATGATATCATCAAAGATCAAAAGGGCAGACGAAAAACGAAAAGCGGCCTGCTCGGCACTTTGAACTTTGACATCCTGGGCGGGTGAAATCCACGTCGGCGGCCCTAGACGGTTTACGACAGCGTTGAAGTTTGAACTAGCCCCCGCCGATTCGACTGGACCAGGGCTCTCGAGAAGCTGTTTGAAAAGAGCCAAGGCGGCGTTTAGATGTGCTTGGCAGTTATCGAAGCATAGAACAGTAATCTCAAAACGCTGCATTTGCATGACGCTTGCCATAATACGCACAGCACCGTGTAAGTGCTCTGTGATGCTTGAGCCGTTGATAACCTGTAGTGACTGTCTTAGCACCCCAAATGCATCTCTAGTCTGCGAGAGCACCGTCTCCCAGACTGCATCGTGATTAGCTGTTCCCTGGGCGAGGGAGAAGAAGTATGAAGATTGACATAAAGTGGCCTGCCGTACTACTGGGCTGCTCAACATCATCTCCAAGATCCAAGACCGACCGCCCTCGAGGGGAGAAGGACAGTAAAATGGGAATAAGAATGGAAGTAAGTTTTCGACGTAGAACGTGATAAGAACAGTACAAGACCGACCAAAGGATACATTGTCGTGAATGTCCTTGCTGACAATTTTACAATCAGTCCCACGTTGGAGGCGGACGGCGGATGCCTCGGGGCATGGCTCCACCTCACTGTTGAGGCTTTCCGGCGTCGTTGCCCCAAGAAGCTCGCCCGGGACGTGGATCGCGCGGACCTCGCGGCGGAGATGGGCATTTTCTTTAACTTCGTGCTTGAGACGCCCAGCCATCTCTTCCTGTCTCACGCCACCATCCATCCATTCTGGCTTGTCCTGATCGTAGTGACAGGTGATGTGGAGTGCGGCGCACACATCACATACAGGGCGGGTTTCATCACATTTTTTGCGCCGCAGTCGGCAAGTCCAACAACCGTTGGAACTTCTTATTGTGCTGTTGTGACGAGAACCGTGAGGTAATGTCATATCCATAGGTACCTAAATCATACACGGTGGGTTTCCCTTGCATTTAGAACGGATTATTAATTAACCTTAGACTTCAGTATAT